AGTCAGTTGGTCAGGTAGCTGTCTTCCAAATCTCTTGGCATAGCTGAATGAGTGCCTCCAGCAGGACATACATCTGTTGAAACATCTCAGTGGGTATTCTGTCAATTCCTGGAGCCTTGTTTTTTGCCAATTCCTTCAGTGCAGCTTTGACTTCTTCCTTCAATACCATTGGTTCTTGAACATATGCCACCTCCTGAAGTGGATGAAAATTGACCAGTTGTTTTTGGTACAGTGACTCTGTGTATTCCTTCCATCTTTTTTTGATGCTTCCTGCATCATTCAATATTTTGCCTATTGTTATTGTTGTTAGGTGCCATCGAGTCGTCTCTGATCCATAGAGACCCTATGCACAGCAGAATGAAACAAAGCCTGGTCCCACGCAAGCTCCACAATCCCTGCTATACTTGACCCCACAGAGACATTACAGCTCATCACTCTGAGATTCATAATTCTAGTTTTCAAATAGGGCTTGTGTAGTGGCTAAGAGAAAACAATGCAGCCTACTTGGTTTAAATCACAGGTCTGATTTAAGGCCACATATGTCCAGGGCTTGACAGAGGCTAAATTGTAACACAGACAGTTTCCCTTTCTCCTACTCTCTTCCCAGCTCCCACTGACCCCGCCTTTCCTCTTTACGTGGTTCCCATGCCTCCTAAGCCTTGTGCCCTTGGAGGCTCCTGGCCCTGCCTATCAGACACCTCCTCTCAGAACCTGCCAGCTGGGGTCCAGTCTGGGAACTGGTGACTGAAACTTGGCCCACATGGTGATGGCTGACAGCCAGGTACCCCATCCCAGAGAGTTCATTTGGGTCTTTTATTGTTGTTTATTGCAACCCAATAGTCACATAAATTCAAATAAAAGAAAGAAGATATTCCTCTATAATCCCACAACCTCCAACAAAGCACACTGTTTTTCTTTTTGGTTTCTTTTCCTAGCTCCATCTGTATACACACCCAATCTTTAGAATTTGATTTTTTTCACTTTATATTATTATCATTACTATTTCATAAGTGTTTTCTCATCCTTTTCTCTGTGTTTTATAATGATAATTTGGATGACTCCAAGAGTCCACCAAGGAGGTGCATTGTTGTTTACCCATTCTCTTAATGTTGTGTACTTTTTTCAATTATGATAAACAAATAGAAAAAGTTTTCTCCCTCTTTTGAAATATTTCCTAACAGTAAATTCCCAGAAGTTGGATTAGTAGGTCAAAAGGCTCTTAAAAAAAAAAAAAATTATTGTGATTTGGATGAAAGTTTACAGAGCAAATTCTTTTCCATACAGCAGTTCACATACACTTTGTCTCATGACATTGACTGTAGTTTCCCAAAATGCAACAGCTCTCTTCCCACTTCCTCCCCATGTTACCTCTTCCCTGTGTCCTTCCCTCCCATGCATTGCTGCCCCCCAAGCTGTCTCCCTGTGCATACACAGCCCTTCTATTCTTCGATGATTGTTCTCTCCAAGGAGTGTATCTCCCTAGTGTAAATGTTCACCCCCATATGCCTGTCTTTTGTTTGGCTGGAAGTCACAGGAGTGGGTTCAATTCCAGACCTGAAGGGCAGCTAGGGGCCATAGTCTCAGGGATTCCACCAGGCTCTATCAGACCAGCAAAGCTGGTCCCTTTTTTTTTTTTTAAATTTATTTTCCTGCTTTTGAGTTTTGTTCCACATTGTTTTCCCACTCTATCCAGGATTGAGTAGGTCAAAAGACTCTTAAAAATCTCTAGCCGAATTACTTCCCCCAAAGTTACACAAGTTTATATTTACATTATTGATTTTTAAAGGACCAGTTTCAATGCAACTTACCCACTGAGTATTTTAATTTCCATATTGTTAACTTCACAGATATAAAATGGTATATTTTTGTTTTAGTATATTTGCATTTTAGAAGTGGCCTTTTCAAGGCAATGTGTTAGCTCATAGGAATGATGTAGACATTTTAGGTACCTCAGCTAATAGGAGCTCTGGTAGTGTAGTGCCTAAGGCACTTGACTGCTAACTAGAAAGCTGGCGGCTCAAACCTACCAGCCACTCCTCGGAAGGAAGGTTGGGCAATCTACTTCCGTAGTGATACCGCCTCGGAAACCCAAGGAGGGGTTGCTATGAGTCGGGTCTGACTGGACGGCACATAACAACAACAACAGCTAGTTATAACAGCAATTATTTGGAGGGTTAATATCCTTAGGGCATCAGATCATGCTGTATACAGCTGCCTCCCTTTTGGGGATCACTCACCCACCCCTCCGAAATGAATTATCTCCTCCAATAGTCACAGTGTGTTCTCTACTCTACACTGCTACCACCCACCCTATTCCCCCATTTAATTCCTTCCAGATGTTTGTTGTCCTCAACAGGGAACAATTCTTACTTGAGTGTGACTTTCTTAATTCATATTTATGCAAACAGTTCATTTATCTCTCTGTCTGGCATATCTACTTTAAATATGCTTTAATTACTCTTCAATTTTCATACTTTCACAAATGGGAAAATAAATTATAGAGTAATAATAATAACTCAGAGTAATAATAATAACTGACACGTACTGAGTACTTACTATGTGCCAGGCACTTTTGGAAGTGTTTTCCATATCAATACATTTAATCCCATAACACCACTATGAGATAAGTGTAATTGACCCTTGAGCAACATGGGTTTGAAGTGCATGGGTCCTCTTATCCACAGATTTTTCTCAAGATATTGATCTTGGAGAAACTGAAGAGCTAATAGCACACCAGGAGAAATAACAGAAGACCACATGATGGAGATGAGTGCTTCTGAAGCAGGGTCTGATGATGAGGAAGAAGACACAGAGGAAGCAGTGCAAGAAAACCAATTGACATTAGAGAGTCTGGCAAGAGGGT